AAAAAAACATATGTTTGAGTTATTTCACAATAAACAAACTGAAATTGTAGCCTACATAGTTTGTGCAAGTACAATTATTTAAATTGAACATTGAAAGATAATACTGATCATGTTCTATTCTGTAATTTTAATAGAAATCATACACTGTCAGAATAAAAAGGTTGCATCAGCCGGTCACTGGCAGTCCCTTATGAAAATGAACCATGGTTTTACTAGATTTGAATCATGTGTAAACAAAAAACTCATTTGAACCATGTGTAAACAAAAATATAACCTAATAAGTTACAATTAAGACGTATTGAATGTTAAAATGCATTTTAAACAAAGTTAAGTGGTTATCATTACCCATTTTACTCTTAGTAATTTAATAATGTAATACATTTCATCATTTAAAAGTTTAATTCAGAAGTATCGTATCGGTATCGACGATACTGCCTTGAAAAATATCGGTATCGTATCGAAAACAAAATAAGTAGTATCGCCCATCCCTAGTTTCAATTTTCATAAATACCTCGAGATGCTTTTAATTGGGCTTATGTAATCCTTAAATAGTGTGTGGTAATATGCTGAAGTCACACACAGACTTAAACATTCAACACGTGAACCACAACAATGGTAACAATTAAATTAAATTTATTTTCATTAATTGTAACAATAACCATTTTATTTGCTCTTTTTGTTGTGCTACTACTGACACAAGACAGCAAATAAAATTGGCAAATTAAGTCAACAACTGTAAATCAAAGCAACTGCATAATTTATTCTGCCGCAATGCACTCTGGGAGTCAGTGAGTAGCTATACTAAGTCATGAGTAAACTTAAATGAAAGGATCAAGTACACCCTACAGTTCTTTTTTAGTTACTAGAACTCTCGTGTAAGTAAACTATACTAACTAAGCATTTGTCAGTACAACATACTATTCCTATTTCACTTTACTGAGTTTTTTCAAGGCAATCGGTTTGCATGCTTTTTTTAAGTAAGCCCAACTAATTAGATTTTACAGTGTGTCAGAGATACATTTTAGAAGAAGGAATAACAAATTTATTAAATAAAAATGATTAATACAATAAATTAATAAAGTTAACCAAATTAAGATCTATCTTAATGAAAAATTTATACTAAAGTGCAGAGTTTTCCAAATTATTATATCTAAGGAATGAAGCAGTGAATATCAGAAGAAAAGCTCACAAGAAGTAAGATATAGGGGAAAAGTAAAGACTGAAGAGTAGAGAAGAAGTAAGCGTAGGCACAAGGAATACATATATGCAGGAAACTGACATCCTCCCAAACTGGTGTTTATGTCTAATAAGAAAAGGTCAAATAGATTTATCCATTATGTCACTCATCCGTTATGTCATATGTTGTTGTGACTATAGGTCAGATCAAGCTAGGTCATCATGACCAGTCAAATGTTGAGGTTAAAAATAGATGTGTGGCTAGACATGGATTTCACACCTTTAGAATAAATATAGCAAAATAAGCACTTTCAAATATCATATTTTGCATATTACCAAAACACAGTTTCTGGAAAAAGAACATCTAGTACCATTGGTGGCTAATTCTGAGAAGCATTATTACTCAGGCAGTAGTTGGAAGATGTCCAATATCTAACAAAACACCAGTGAAGAAGATATAACTTTCAAACATTTATAAAATATGCATAGCACACATATTGTTGGAGAATATGATATGAAAATCAAGGAAAATATAACAACATTGATTATTTGAATACAGCAAACATTGATTTGTACTGTTATTGTTTATTGCCGTTATTGCTGTTGCTGATGTTATTGGTTACTATTAGTATCATGCATGTAATTCATGCATGCATTCACCCAAAAATCAAAATGTTCTTATTCTCAGGCTATCCAAGATTGTGTTTCTTCAAACACAAATTTAGCATTACATCACTTGGGTCCTCTGCAGTGAATGGGTGCCATCAGAATGAGAGTTCAAACAGCTGGTAAACATATCACAATAACCTTATGAAGTGAAAAGCTGTGTCTTTGTAATAAATTCATTGTTAAGACGTTTTAGGACGTTTTAACTTCAAACCGTTGCTTCTGGCTGCAAGTCTTCTTGGCATAATTTTGTTTTCTCCAGTGAAAAAGTCATATCGTCTGAATCAGGAGAGAAACATGCACAGATCAAGCACTGTTTACAAGTGAAAACAGTCCAAAACAGTTCAAAACAAATATATCAGTGAATTTTGATTTGAGAGGACAACAGGGGACAGACTTTTTCACGGGAGGAAGTGTTCTTTATGGATTATGGACTATTTTGGCCAGAAGTGACTGTTTAAAGTTAAAATGCCTTAATTAATGATGGATTTGTTTCTTGCGAACACACAGCTTTTCACGTCACAAGACATTCATTGATTGACTGGAGACTTGCCGACTACTCAAGGATTATTGTGTGATGTTTTTATCAGCTGTTTGGACTCTCCATCGGATCCATTGGTAAGCATGTGATGTAATACAAAATTTCTGCAAATCTTTATATTTGATTGCATTTTTGGGTCCTTTAAAGTTCGATCACACTAGCAAAATTTGGTGAAATTTCATGGCAAAAAGGTCCGTTGTCTGTTGTCAATAATCTTTTGCCGTCAAGTGAAATCCGATTCCTATTGGATTTCACCTGTGAAAATTCACTGAACAACAGTAAATGTGACCGCACCTTTAGTACGCAAGGGGAGTGGGGTTCAAATCCTGGTTTAACATATTTAATTTTATATTTTTCTATTATAAACCAAGTGAAATTGCAGCTGCATGGATTCTGTGAGCATTATATACAATGATGAATGGATTTAACCCATCAACTCCACAAGGGTAAATGGTACCTTATTGATGCTTTTGGAAGCATGTTTTGTGAATCAGAAGGTGTTCTTATAGTTTATCTGAAAAACATGCAGAGTTCCTGTGTTTACACTGTTGTACTCAACCACCCAGTCAGCCAACCAAACAGGCATTTTCACATATGAATAAATATAGAATATCTCATTAAATGCTAAAACTCTTCAGTGGTCTTGACAAATTAATCTTTTGTAAAATTTTGGTGCCCAGCCACTGGAAAAACTCTGGGAACTGCGGGGAACATGCTGCGAACAAAGAGAGCTCATAAAATATTTTAACTTCAATCAAATTTTTATAGCTGTAATATTCAGGATAATGTACAGTCGTCCGGTTGTTATTGCAAAATTGGCTTTACAATGGGGTCCTGAGCATTTAATTGCTTTAACATAACGTATTGTTTTACACTCTACCCATCCATGTCTGTATTTGATCGAACCTACTGTACAGTACTAGACTGTCGTTTTTGAATGATTTATTCAGTTCAATTAATGAGTGTGGATGCACTCCCCGCTTCTTGCATTGAGGCAGGTATTTGTTTTCGTGCCTTCGACTGCAAGTATTGCAAGGTGATCGCATTTCACACCCACACCGTTCGTCTCCTGTAACCAGGGGTGCAATATATACCACCTGTCTGTCAAAGGCCATTTTATATTCTCATAACCTTGAGCTGCCTCACCTGACACTGGTGTAGAGCACACGACAACCCTACGTGACCATCCCTCACTCGACATCTTCTGTCTGAATCTGTACTGTCACCTATTCCCTCTCTCTCCCTCCACTTTCCTGTCAAAATCTCCACTGTCCTTTCTCATGAAGGCAAAAAAAAGTCAGCTCAGTGAGGAAAACATTTAGGCGGGACTTTGATTTGGAGGGTGAAGTGTGTTGTCTATGCCAAGTGGTTGGAGGGGCTGGTTTGATGATGTCGGTTTAAAACGGAGAAGCTGCAGAGGCAGAGCATGAGAGCAAGTTACATTTTGATTGAAGATTAAAAAGACAAATATTTGTTAGTTGAAAGCCAATTTAGTTGCTGTTGGTTTCTAGTAGTTGCTCTTGTTTTGATGTGGTATCCACTTGTATCAGGGGGCTGCATCTCCCACCAGCAGAATGATCTCTGTCACTAGAAATGGCTAACTCACTGCAAATCACTGACCTCCCGGCAGCATCCAAACTGAAATGAATCCTAAGCAGTGACTGATTTGAACATTCTACATACACAACTCCACTTGATTCAAAATGAGTTAACATTTACATTTACATTTATTAATTTAGCAGATGCTTTTATCCAAAGCAACCTATACACGAGGA